GGCTATACTGAAAGCCCTACTTACTTTTATCAAATACTCAAGGCTGATTTAGCTAATGTAGATTTTCCTAACAACTCTACCTTAATTCAATATGTAGATGACTTGCTCATGTGCTCAAAAACTGAATTAGACTCTTAAAAGGATACAGTCTATCTGCTACAACAACTGGCACCTAAGGGACGTAAAATATCCAAGGATAAACTGCAATTTTGTTTGCCTATTGTGAAATACCTAGGGCACCTAATATCTAAAAATGGACTATTGATTGATTCTAGAGGAATTTTGGCTTTTCTTTCCCTAAAACAAAAAACAATTGAGGGGCTTTCTGTGACTAACTGGGTATTGCAGGAACCGGGTGCCTAACTTTTCACTTACTGCTCAACCTTTATATGCGTTGCTTAAGTCCAACCAGCCTGACCTGATTGAATGGACGCCAGAGGAGAGAAAGCAGTAAATACCTTCAAGTCCGTCTTGGCTCAGGCATCAGCTTTAGGACATCCTAATTACAGCTGGCCATTTTTCCTCCTTGTGCATGAAGATAAAGGAAGTGCTTTAGATATTCTGACTCAAAAGTATTGTGATCAACATTAACCTATAGGATATTATAGTCAGCAATTAGATTCCCTAGCAAAAGGACTTCCACCATGTATGATGGCTATTTCAGCAACAGTTATGTTGTGTAAAGCCGCTGAAGAAATGGTGATGGGGTCTCCTTTAAATATTTATGTCCCACACTCAGTTGAATCTTTTCTAATCATGCTCAGCATTACTCTGTAAGCTGGTTAGCTTCATATGAAGTTCTGTTGCTTTCTGCACCTAATATCACCTTAGCCCGATGTAATAATCTTAACTCTGTAACTTTGCTTCCAATATAACAGAAGGAAAATGACCATGACTGCATTTTAATAACAGATTACCTTCTTGCTCCTAGGAATGACTTACAAGAGACTCTTATTGATAATGCTGATATAATTTGGTTTACAGATGGGTCTTATTTAAAGGATGAGCAGGGACACTACCCGGCTGGATATGCAGTGACATCTTCAGTGGACATCATTGAGAGTTCCTGTTTACCAGAAATAGAGTCAGCACAGCAAGCCAAATTAATTGCTTTAACTAAAGCTTGTCAATTGGCTAAAGACCAGGTGGCAAATATTTATATTGACAGCCGTTATGCTTTTGGAGTGGCACACAATTTTGGAATGCTATGGAAACATCAGGGTTTTTGACCTCTTCAGGGCAACCTATAAAAAATAGAAAAGAGGTTGCAGAATTATTAAATGCTATACCACTACCAAAACAATTGGCAATTAGTAAAATACCAGGGCATTCCAAATCTGACACTTTGGAAGCTAAAGGAAATCAACTTGCTGATGCAGCTGCTAAGCAGGCAGCTTTAAAAACTTATCCTGTTCAGCCTTGAGAATGCCCACTGCTCTCTGTTAACCCTGCGAATCCAGTGAAAGATTTCCTTCTACAGCCTCAAGAAATCGCCACAGAAGAGAAACAAATATGGCAACAAAGAGGGGGAATTTTTGACCCCACTGCACAAATATGGTTTGGGCCCAATAAAAAACCTATAGTTCTTATTGGGTCACAATTGCCACTGCTCCAGCATATACATCACTTAACCCATTGGGCACTGGAAAAGATGATTTCATGGGGAAAACAATATTTTTTGAAAACTTTCTCCCACAGTGGCTCATAAAGCCTATGCTCATAGTACTATATGTCCTAAACATAATCCTGGGAAACCACTTCATGTATCACAAGGCCACTTTCCCCTTCCTAAGAGACCCTTTGAGGTATGGCAATTGGACTGTGTTCAAATGTCACCATCTCAGGAATATAAATATATCTTAGTAATGATTTGTACGTTTTCACATTGGGTTGAGGCTTTCCCTTGCAGAAGAGCAATGGCTTTAACAGTAGATAAATTGTTACTAGAAAGAATAATTCCTGTTGCAGGAATTCCTATGGAGTTACACAGTGACTGAGGAACTGATTTCACTGGACAAATAATTAAATCTATGTGTGACATTTGGCCAATAATGCAGCACTTTCGTGGCACTTATCATCCCCAGTCCTCAGGACTGGCAGAAAGAACTAACAGCACAATCAAAACTCAATTGGAAAAATTTTCAGAAGCGTTTAATCTCTCATGGCCAAAAGCTCTTCCGCTAGTGCTCCTCAATCTTAGATCCACAGCCTTTGGTAAACATCAGCTGTCTCCTTTTTAAATAATAACAAGACAGCCTATGCAATTAGGTGAAGGAATGTATGAACCAACTTTGCTCAAAGGAGATATCTCACATTATTGTCAAGTTATTATTAAGACGCTAAAAGGAAATGAAAAATTGGTAGCAGATTCTTTTCACAACAAGCTCCCAGGAGACAAAGATCTTAAGGATCATGGACCACAACCTGGAGATTTTTTTTATTGGAAGAGACACCAAATTAAAGACTCTTTGCAGCCTCATTGGAAAGGACCATACCAAGTACTTTTAACCAATACATGTGCTGCAAAGTTTAAAGGCATAAACTCATGGATTCACACATTTCTCATTGAAAAAAGGCTTCTCCTCCTGAGTGGACTTCAACCCCTGTTACTGACACCTGGCTTCAATTGACTAAGACAAGTACTACCAAACCAGGATGAGAAGAAGCCGGCATCTGTTGTAGACAGCCATCCCAAGATCCTAGACCAGGCCTGTATTCCCAACCTTACATAAGGTCCTTTAAACCCTTGTAATGCTTGAGCTGTATACCCATTTATAAATGCTATAATAATCATATTCTTGAGCATATTAGCAATTTTAATACTTTCATGTGACTCTAGTCACTTTCCTTGTGTTTTAGATTGCCTTTTTGGTGCCTTTTAATTATTGTTCCTATAACTCTAATACTTTCTTTCTATCCCTCTAGACTAAAATACATCAGAGCTTAAGTACAAAGTCTTTTAATTAACTACCAGAATGTCATTAAGGTTTTTGTGATACTATGGTCGTTTATTCAGTCTACATCTGAATGGGCCTCTAATGGCAATGTCTTCTTACAATGGGCTCATTCCTTTGCTTCACATAATAATCAGTCCAATTGTTGGATATGTGGCCAACTTCCCCTTTCTAGTACATCTGGGTTACCTTGATGGGTTTCTCCCTTTCAAGGTACATGTTCGAAAGCTCTAAAACAATTTATTATGACAGAGACTTCTAGTTCCAATGTTGACAGTTCATCTGATATTACTAATTATGATCCTGAAACCTGGCCAATAGCCAATACTATTAATGGTTACAGGACATAATTATTCCTTTTCTGTTGCTCAAACTATTCAGTTATCCCAACAATTTGCTGGTGAACAAAAGAAATTGGGTTCTACAACAGGAACTATGGGAGGTTTCATGAAAATCTGGGATGGTTTTGTTTGGCTCACTCCTAGTTATGGGTCTTTAAGTACATGAGCAGCTTGATGCTGGGAACCGAGAAACCATTCCAAACAAAACTTGCCTAACTGTATCTGAAACATGGGCTGGATACGCCCGAAATCATGTCAAAATACTATCATTCTTAAAGAAAGTGATTGGTTTGGAACAGATTGGTTTCAAAGGCCGAGCATTTATTGGGTGGCCTCCAATGGAACTCAGTGGTTGTGTGGAACAAGTTTTTGGCCTTGGCTACTGCCTGGATGGCTAGGACGCTGCACCCTGGGGTTCCCTTGGATGCAGGAAAGGATTTGTCCTGAAGTAACAACTGTTGCCAATTTTCCTCTTCCTTAAGGCCAGATGGACTCGTTCAGTTTTCCACTGGTAAGACCACCTAACAGCTGTATTTGTTCCCTCCGTAGGATTAGAAGACGTCATATCACATGTAGAAGCCTTGACTAAATTTCCTTAACAGGCCCTTAACGATAGCCAAACAAGAATAGCTTTATTGAATACTGAGATGTCCTTAATGAGAAAGGCTGTCCTACAGAATAGAATGGCCTTAGATATTCTAACTGCATCCCAAGGTGGCACATGCGCTATAATTCACACTGAATGTTGTGTTTTTATACCTGATGAATCTTCCAATGTGTCATCTCTCTTAAAACACATGAAAAAACAGGTGAATGCCCTAAATGACCCCTCACCAAGTCTCCGTTTATTTAGTTGGCTCCCTTCAGGTATTGGTTCCCTTCTGCGATCTGGATTACAATTCTAATTTTTGTTACTTCTTAGAATTCTTGTCTTAATCATAATATTCAAGCTAATTACAATTTTCTTTACTCAAGGTTGTAAGACTGATAAGCAAGCTAGAGTAATGACCACTCAACAACTTGAGATGGTCGATCATTCTTATAATCCTGAATGAGCCTCTTTTTCTGATAAGGATTATGCTTAAGACTTATTCTTCTAAACTAAACACTTTAGTATCATTACTGCTATATCTGCTCTGTAGTTGTTAATTGTTATAAGCGATGATTACAAAATATTGTTGAAGCACATGTACAATGTTTGTGTGACAATCCAAAATTATTGACCTATGGAATGCTTCCCCTGTCAGAATACACCTCTATGTCTGCTCACTAAGCTTGCTATTTTCCCCCAATGTGGATAACTGGGTAAATCAATAAAATAAAAGCCCAGCTCTGAGGGACATGATGGAGCCAGGGCAGGCAGCAACCACCCTGGCACTGAGGGACAATAACTTGATCGTCAATGCTTTCTATGGAAAAATTTTTGATCAAAAGGGGAGAAATGATAAACATAATAAGAATAATAAGAGGTTTTCACATATTGAGGTACATGGGTAAGCCATTCTGGTTTAAATCTGATTCAGCCTAAAACTTGTTTTTCCCAGAGCAGCCTGACTGCTTGTTTTTCCCAGAGCAGGCCCACCAAACATGCATTGTACATCTGCTTCAGACATTTTCGTAAAGCAAAGAATGCACTCTTTAAAGATAGGGATGAACATCTCCCTTTCTCTGATGCCAATACTGTTATTTCTTTGAAGGTAAGCTTTTCTTCCCAGAGAACCAAGGTCAAGTTGACCTGCTGTGCATGTACTAAACCGCAGCAAACCATCTCCTTGTGACTTTGAGAAAAACATTGTATTCCTGTCATGCTTGATTATGTTCTTTGTTCTGAAATGGTATATAACCAAGCTGTAAACCACGCTTCTCCGGAGTGCTTTCTTCCCTAGGGAACTTCCGGGCTAGTCCTCAGCATTGGCTCAATAGATATCAATAAATATCACTCTGTCTTTCCTATCTGTAGATTGGTTGTTGATTATTTGCTTTGACAAACTCAATCTTTCTAAACTCAGATTTCTGATTGCAATATGGGGATGATAACCTTTTCCTTGCAGGAATACTGCAGAGATTTTAGGAAGATGATATATACTGTGCACATAGTGCCTAGCATAAGCACTCATGGAAGAGTAGTTGAAATATGAAACATATACGATTTTCCAGCACCTCGCTTTTTAGGTCTGGGTGAGGGGGCGGGTGGGCCAGGCAGGGGACAGTTACGTGAAGCATGTCTGAGGGCCTTGGGCACCTCAACTGTGGGCCGTGAGTGAGCTCTGGGTGGGCGGCCTGGTGTGACTGCAGCTGTAGCAGCCTGTTGGGATGCCTCCTCGAACCAACCTGGCTACTGGACTCCCCAGTGGTAAAGTGAAATACTCAAGGCTTTCCAGCACAGACCATGGCTACACTGACCTTCAGTTCAAGAAAAGCCCTCCTAAGATCCCACATAAGGCCACCGCGCTCGCTACAGTGCTTGTTTTAGTTGGCGCCGTTCTCATTATCATAGGCTCCCTTCCACAGGCAGGCAAGGGGTGGAACTGAATGGGTGGGTTCCATCCTGATCGTTGGCATCCTCGTGTTCCTGCACACCCCAGCCCCCATTTTATCACCTGGTATTGCCTACTATGCATCCAAAGGCTTCCAGAGTTACTCCTGACATTCCAGGCTTTGATGACTGGCACCCACCTTAGCCCTAGGAGAAGAATCACAGATGGGACATTCAGCTTTAAGACATTTAGTAGAAACAATGGCTAGGGGCTAAGGAATTCTGCATTTTGCAGGTGTTTAACTAGCAATGAGCAGATTTTATGAGTCCATTCTGAAGATGTTAACTGAGCTTACAATTAGCTAGTTAATTCATTCATTCATTAGCTTTATTTTTCACCTCCTAGCAAAAGCTACCTTCTGGCCCCGGCAAAAGCTCCTGACAAGTTTTTCCACTTGAATATACATCATGGAAGAGTACCAGTGTTACTGGTATGGGAAAGTGGGAGGGTATTTTATAGTGGGAAGTGCCACCACCCTTTTCAGAATTGAGCATTTCTTTTAAATAGTCCTCACTGTCAATTTGTTCTTGTGGCAAAGGAAGGCATGCAGTATGTCAAATTCTTATTACTGAGTAATTTAGTTTGAAAATATCTAAGTATCTTATCCCTGACACTCATCTCTAACTTTTTGTTCTAGTGGAAGACTTTGGTGAAATCAAATATCAGTGTGAGTGCATCTGTAATATTTTTTACTTGCTTTCTTCTGACAGTAACCAGGAATTTTCAAATCCTCAGAACAAGTTTTCAAAGTGTAAACACTTTCTCTGTTCAACAATCCTTATCCCGCTCTGATCTGGTTCACCAGTAGATTGGTCGGCATATAATTTGGGTCATTCTGTCCTTTGTAGATGAAGATGTTCTGTGTATCATGCCGTTAATGACTAGACTTTTGGGTGTTTCCTAGGGAAAAATGTAGATAAGTGGTTATTATTTAGAGAGTATAAGCACCTGGTATTATGATGCCACTCTGCTGAAGATGGCAAGACTCAGCCTGGATCCCTAGAGGACTAGATGCCACAGTTTGATTCTATACGCTAGCTTGCAAAAAGTGACTTATATTAAAAAATAATTAAATGGTCAAAATCTAACAAAAAAACAATAGCAAAAAACTCCACGACATCTCTAAGCTGAAGGGTTCATGATAAGTGCAAAAAGTTTATAGTGCATAATGAGCTAATAATGCCAACTAACAGATGGAACAGAAAAAGACCTCCTTAGAAACATCACCATTTTTAACCACCCTTTTAATAATTAATTTAGGAAAAGAACATTGATGGATGCTAAAGTCATTGGGTGAAAAACTGTAGGAAAATAAGGCATTTACACACTCTCAGATTACTTATTTATTGTATAGAGGAAATTCTCCATTAATTACAATGGAGAAATATTGAGACACTTGAACATTTAACTTCAGGCTAATAATGAAGAAAAAATCAGACAAATCTAAATTTAGAGGCTTTATGCTTGGAATGAACTTTTCAAAAACATTACTATCTTGTAAGAAAAAAATACTGGAGAAGGTGGATGTTTTCTAGGTGAAATTAGACTATGGAGACATGAGGAAATGTATAATCTTTGATTAGGAACAAGTTACAAAGGATGATATTGGGACAGTTAGTGAATTTTTATTGTGGACTGATAGTAGAATTATAACTATAAAAAAGTATGTCTGCGTAAGAGAGAGAGAGAAGGAGTAAGAAAAACAGACAGAATGAGAGAGAATCAAATATAGTAAAACTGAAACAATTGCTGAGTCTAGGTAAATGATATATGGGTGTTCATTGTGCTATTCTCTCAACATTTCTGTAGGTATGAAAGCTTTAAAACCTAAAAGTTGGAGGAAAAATCAGGAAATGCAGAAAGACAGATGCAGGTAACTGAGGTAGAAGTCAGCTCACCCCACATAGAACTTCCATTAGCTTTGGAGCCACCTCGGGGCTCCACACTGAGCTGTGAGCTCTGGAGGACGACTCATGACCTATTCAAAATTGTGTCTCCAGCATCCTGGCACAGTTTCCAGAATATATATCAGGTAAATGTGTGTAGAAGAGTGCCTTCTTTCCAGGATATGCTCCCAAGGAGCAGGGTAGAGTCAGCTCTGGGGACAAACTGTTATGAGAGGTTCGGGGATTCGATCGGAGATGTAAAAGACACTTTCCACTCCAAACAAATGGACTGAAGGTATATTTTATTATATAGAGGATAGTAAAGGCGATAGTCTGCAAACAGATCCGAATAGGTCATATAATAAGAGGGAAAAAACATCAGATCGATCGGAAAGGGAAACACCAGATGGACTGAAGGGAAATGACACAAATCAACGGGAAAGAGAAACACCAGGTTGACCGAAAAGAGAACACATCAAATCAATTACTTCATATCAAATCAATTACTCACAATATCCATGCCCCACTGCCGAGAGAGCCCTGTCAATCGACGCGGCTGGGCAAGGATCACACGTCCTGAGCAAGGTGTCCCTTCCGCAGGTGGAACTCTCACCAGGTCTCAGCTTCCAGCAGTTTATATAAGCAGTTACAGAGTTTACAGAGCAAGCATCTAGTGTTTCCATGCACAAAATAGTTATCAGTGGCGTACGTGCACTGAGCCCCTTGGCTAACGTCCCAGCCCAGTAGTTGTGTACATGCATTGTTTCCTTTGGTTATCGTCTTAGCCCGGCACGGATGGCCAGTCCATCCCGTGCTACGACGCTCCAAGAGCCTTAACTGTTACAACTTGCAACTCCCTCCGTGGGAGAAAGGCCAGTTCCCGGGAAAAGGCCAGTTCCCACCACACAGAAAGCAGCTTTGTATTTCTTTTTTGTGCTGGTGGCTGTAGGTCAATGGAGCGGCCAAACATGGCTGTACTCATGTCAAGACACAAACAAAGTGGTGTTCCCAGGCATCATGTCTCGAGGCCTTCAGGTTTCTGGAAGAACTAGATGCCTGAAACTGCATCAACATAGATGCCATCCACCGGGGAACTTGAGTGTCTTTGGCTGGAGATTGTTCCCTGGCAATGACCTTTCTGAGCTTCACCTGCCTTTTTTGGCAGGGAAGAGCAGAGCTTGCAGAGATGTCTTTGCTGTCCTTTTTCCTCCTGCCATTGGCCCTAGATAGCCCACAAAACCCCACGTTGGCTAGAGGGACTGATACTCTTCATGGTTCCCTCCAGTATGGGACCAAGTTTTCTGTTGCCACCCCTTATCCTTGATGTGATGGGTTACATTAATCAATCTTCAAATGTTGAACCAGTCTTACATAAGTGATTTATGATTTTGGAATCTGTGAGGCAAGAAATTCTCAGAGTTCTTTACCCCAATGTCAGCAACCTTGGATAAGGACTTTTTGTTGCTGCCATTGGCTGGATCAGATGGCCAAACCCTTGGCAATGGCCAAAGAGTCCATAATAATTTGCAGATTCAGGAGATGATTGGCAAGGGCATCCAGTGCTAAGACAACTGCCTGAAATTCAATCAATTGTGCAGATCTTTGAGTCCCATCCATTTTGGAGACTTCTTGGTCAAGCTCCATCACCTATGATAGTGGTGATAAGGTGTACAAACTCCCTTTGCTTTATAGTCAGTTCATTCCAAGGGCCTCCCTGTTAAGACAAGGGTTCCAGGAGAGGGATGACCAACTTCAGCATTATGGCATCTGGCAAGAGAATGAGGGCAGGAAAGGGCAGGAAACCACCCTTTCCTGAAGGTTGGATATTCCAGAAGGTCACATTTGGCTCTATTATGTAGGAAGGAAATCTCGATGTCTGTGCCAATCTTGTTGGGTGCTGCTTCCATGACTCAAAGCATAACTGGTAGCTGAGTATGGAGAGTCACAAGCTCAGGGCCTATGTCCAGGAAAGCCCAATTTGTGGCCACCAATTGCCACTCTCATGGCATATAGCCTGCGGCCAAGTGCTTACATCACAAGATCATGGGTGACTTATGCTATCATAGATGGTCCAGAGGCTCTTGGAGGTGTGAAAGAAGGTTTCTAAAGCTTCTACAGTGAAAAGTCTCTGGGGAGCACTAGTAGGAGTGCCTGTTGTCTTACAATTTGAACATATTCTAGGGCCTTGCATTGGAGGGGGCCCCATTTGAGGCAGGCATATTTGAACATATCAGCATAAATGGGCTTAAGTAAAAATTTTTAAATGAGGAATATGTTGTTTCCAGAACCCAAAAGTCACTAAAAGATGTTGTGTTTTTTTTTTTAATGCTGTGGGTTCTGAGAGGGTCAGTTGATAGCTGTGTCAGAGTCAGAGAAGGAGATGTGACTACAGAAGCAGAGGTTAGAGTGATGGAAACTATGAGCCGGTGAATGTGGGCAGCCTATAGAAGCTGGAAAAG